TAGAAGGCAGTAATGCTCACTCCAAGGATTTCTAACAGAATCAGGCATTTCTTTGGGAGCGTATTTTATTTCACTTTGCAACTTTGCATAAACTTAAGACAAAATAAAATCTCCCCCACCCCATAATTCAGATTTCTTTTCTGGGGTGGCTGGGTAACAAGCAAGATCCTTTTCTGAGGGTGAAATTTATGCCACAAACCTTTCAAATTAAACTTTTGTGTATAACCCTAGATTAGCTTCTGAATTTGATTATATTTTTAGGAGGAATGTTTCTGTTGATATTTGGATACATCAGTAGATTGATGTCATTACTTAGAATTAAAGATCATATGCTAGTCTATACTATTTTGCAAAATATCTATGAAATAATCAGGGTTATTTTTAATCTCATAAAAATCATCAAGAAATAAGTCAGAGTCAAATATCCTCAGAATAATAATATGCCCATAGGATCAATATATTTTTGATGTTGAATATATTCTTGATCAATATACTACCCTCTTAGCCTCTTTCCTAACTAACAATATAACTCCAGCTGCGTTAATACTATTACCAGTGATATGTGAAGTACCTGATTAATTTCAGATGATTTCCTCATTTCTGAGATAAGACTCTTGTAAAAATATAAAATATAAAATCAGCTTTTTATCTATTTATTAAATATCTTTCTATTATTTTAAATATCTTTAAGGATACCTTTAACATTTGAATACAGTATTTGTTTTTTTTTTATAGAATTTATTTGCTGCCCATCTATTAACAAATGATTCCGGGTGGCTTCTAGCACTGAAACATTAACATCATAACAAATAAAGGTCTTTAAAAGAATAAAAATAAAAATTGTAATATCAGCGATCAGGGAAAGATCTGGAACTTACCTTTTTAAAATTTCAGTAAAGAGCTTTCACATGCCTTTCCCAAACCATATCACAAATTGTCGTCCTGATAAATATAACAATAATTGGAGGAGCACTCAGTGTTCAAACTGATTCTAACTCTGTATACATCATTCATTTCCAAATCCAGTTCAGAGGATAACGACTACCTCTTGAAAACATTTTCCCCCAAACTCAGGCAAAAATAAGTCTTCAATATCTGTTGGTAGACTACATATTTTTAAGTATTTGTGAGTCAGCTCCCCATATACTGTAATCAAGGTTTCATTGTACAAAGTAGGTTTTTTACTTGCTTTTAAATTATAAAGGTGGCAGCCTTCAGCCTGCAATTCATGAGAATTGACCTCTCACTAATATTTAATAAATCATTTAATTGTGTTTACTTTGTTCTTTCAGTTTTAGGCCTGCTCCCTTTTTTGTTTTAGATGAAGTTGATGCAGCTCTAGATAACACAAACATCGGAAAAGTAAGTCATCCATTTCTCTGTTTATTGTATCTATATCCAACTTTTTTATTTATATAACCCAAGGCGGGGTATATAAATGATCTCACCTCCTATTTTGCCTATTAAGACAACTCTGTGAGGTGGGTTGGGATGGGATGGGAGAGAGAGGGATTGGTCCAGAGTTACCCAGCTTGCTTTCATGCCTAAAGCAGGATTAGAACTGTATTCTAGCCTGCCTATCTTCCTTACTCTCTATAAGATATCGACAAAGAAACATTGGCAGATAACATTTATTGTGTTGAGTTATCCAATGTGGAGTTGTCTGCAGTAAGTTGACCATGGCAAGATGGCCGGAGCAAGGTGGCCGTGGCCACATGGCCACGACGAATTATCCCATTCCTCTCAGGACTGTCTTCCTCCAGTAACATCTAGCACAGACATGTCAAACACAAGGCCTGGGGGCTGGATGTGGCCCACGAACTGGTTTCATGTGGTCCGCGAAGCCATCCTAGAAACAGCGAGGGAATGGCCCCTGCTGCCTTGGCCCTGGCCCAGGCCGGCCGGGAGCCAATGTACAATTTTGTGGTGGCCCTCTATGCTGAAACGCATTCAGTCTTAGCTCCACAAGGCCGTCTAGAAACAGTGAGGAACCTGCTCCTGCTGTGTCGGTCCTGCCCCCTGGGTGCATGCTGGGGAAGTGTCACCCTTTGTGAGGAATGAAGAAATGGACCATGCCTTGGCGCTTGCCCTGGTCCCACCCCCTTCTGCCAGAGACCCTCAGATCTGTCCCACTCCTGCCCAGGCCCCCACAAGCACCCTTGACGCGAACGATGTTGAGCTGGCCATGCCCACTCAGTAGGCCACACCCACTCCATCCATGCCCACCCAGTAGGCCGCACACACCCAGCCCCCCGAGGGCAACGGCAATGCTGATGCAGCCCTCAGTGAAATTGAGTTTGACAACCCTGATCTAGCACATGGGCTCTGAATGGCCCCCATCTTTAGAGGCTTGGAAGCATGCCTTCTCAATTCTCAACACACACCCACACACGCCGTTCCTCTCCCGTCAGAGGAGGAATGAATTTATTTTGGATAGAGCTCCCAATATAATGTTATTCTCTGTAATCTTGTTTTCAAATTTATTTTTTTTAATGTCAATTATTTATTGGGAGTTATACAGCACTCAGAGTTACCTTATAAAGAAATAAGTTTTAATAACTCAGAAATAACAGTTATTTTTATCATGGTGCATTCTTCCTCTTTTTTCTAAATGTAACACATTTAAACCACAAATATAGTAAATAAAGTTTGAATATGTAGTGTATTTTTACATAGTGCATTTTCAGCCAATATACTTATATACCTTATATAAGTATATTGGCTGAAAAAGCACTACGTAAAAATAGACTATATATTTAAACTTTATTTACTATATTTGTGGTTTAAATCAAATTTTCCCAGCAGCTTATTTACCAATTTATAAAATAAATTTCCTTCCGAATCATATTATATTTCATATAACTCTAGCAATTTTCATAGCCATCCCTTTTTTTTCTCTTCAAAAAGGTATCAAACTTTATTAGGCAGCAATCAGAAGAAAGCTTTCAGATTATTGTTATTTCTTTGAAGGAGGAATTCTATTCTAAAGCAGATGTTTTAATTGGAGTCTGCCCTAAAGTAAGTAATGCCTTTCCCCAATTTATTTCAGAGATGAAAAACTAACCCAGCTTCTATTAAATGAATTTTTAATGATTTTGAAAACCATCCCTATATCACAATAAGATGATCTGTGCTCAATCTCTCTTCCATTTTCAGCAAGATGACTTTATGTTTAGTCAGATACTGATCCTGGATCTTGCTCGATATTCAGACTCTGAGGAGAATGAAAGACAGAAAAGGAAGAAGAGCTCTGTGCTTTAATGTCTGTTGGTTTTACTAAGTTACAGCTCTAGATAAGGTTAAATGTTGCATTGGTTAAATGTAGTTACAAAGGCACTTACTTTAGTTTAAAACCACATCGCAAAATATTTAATATAGAACTGATTAACATTCTGCAGTATGTTATCCAAGTATATTTTTTTGGGATGAACATTGATGGTTCATATCTGCAATACCCGAGACCCCAAACTAGAAATTCAAAACAGAGAAATGGTGTAGGACACATTGTAATAAAAACAGAAAAGGGGGGGTTGAAGAAAACGAGACTTTCTATTCTGTTTTTCTTCTTGTAGCTTTAGCATTAACCTGAAAGATCCCACATACATATTCTAAACAGCAACACACATAAAACTATCAGAGACACAAAAGCAGTAGGATTCAGACTAAGTACTGTATAGGTTAGGGCAGCATAGAAGGCTATCAAGCTTTTGTTTTTGTGTATTAGTTCTGTCTTTTAGCCATGCATTTTTTTTATTTGATCAGGGCTTTGGGGTGGTATTAGAAATATCTGCATGTACGTCATGTCTGCCTATCATTCTGGTCACTGTAGGACAGGGGTCTTCAAACTTGGCCCTTTTATGACTTGTGGATTTCAACTCCCAGAATTCTTCAGCCAGCGTGCCTGGCTGAGGAATTCTGGGAGTTGAAGTCCACAAGTCATAAAAGGGCCAAGTTTGAAGACCCCTGCTATAGGACTAACTGCCAATTTGGGGGCATTTCAAGTGAATGCTAATCTAGTTTCAGGTGAACATCTGTAGACAGTGTGATGTACTCATTAGAGATTTCAATTAATAGTTCTTGATATAGAATTAAGTTTGTCCACCATATACACTTGTATTTGAAGATTGTTAAATAAAACAATTCTAGCATTCAGATATTAAGTTTCCTATCTACTATGTGTCTTTTCTATATGGAGAGCTAAACTTTATTGCAAGCCGGAGTGAAATTTACCATCTAATGTCAGATTAACATAAGTTTAATTTTATCTTAATAGATCATTTTTTATTACATGACATTGAGAAACATCTTTGCATGAGTAAAGGATGTGTTATGCGTTATATCAGTTCATCAACTTTCAATCATTGATTTTTTCAGATCTAATACATGCACAAGAGAACATCTCTGAATTATATAGGAAATTATTTATTCAAATTCAACAAAATTAACACACATAAAATTTCTCATTTTGTTCAAGTTTTTTTTCTTCAAGAACTTACAAAACATATAAACCTGGTTACATTAGAATAGTATTTCTCAACCGTGGCAACTTTAAGATACTGTATATGGACTTTAACTCCCAGAATTCCTCCCACCATGCTAGCTGGGGAATTCTAGGAGTTGAAGTCCATATGTCTTCAAGTTAACCAAGATTCAGAAACACTACTAGCATTTAGCCACTGATCTTTTGCAGCTGCCTGCATGAGAACTCCATGCTAGGAAAAATTCAAGAGTTCTTTGCCTAGACCAGGGGTAAGCAACCTTGGCTCTTTTATGACTCATGAACTTCAACTCCCAGAATTCCTGAGCCAGCATAGCTGGCTCAGGAATTCTGGGAGTTGAAGTCCATGAGTCATAAAAGAGCCAAGGTTGCTTACCCCTGGCCTAGACACACGGAATGTACTCAGATTGTGTGCCTTTTTCCTCTCACAAGATGTCGTGTAGCCCTTCAAGAGAAGGGACAGGCTTACAGTGCATGGATTAAAGTAAGATGGGAGGAATTAAAAGTTAAAAACTAAATGATATTTCAGAGGCCACACCTCCCTCTTTTCCAAGACTTCATCCCTGAGATATTTAGAAATTTGCTCTTCTCTAAGAACAGCTATGAAATTTTATTAGATATGATATTTATAAGGATCTCACCCTCCCAAGCAGACATTGTTAAGAATGTTAACACCTATCCATTATTTGACTCCCAGCAGATGCAAATGGCCAAAGTCAGGAGGTGTTTCTCAAGGCCTGGTCTGATATAGTCACAGGAGGACACCATCTTCAGCAGGATCTGTTTAAAACAACATAAAAGTCAGTTTTGTCCATCTCGGCCCACATGATTTAAAATAGTTTATCATGCATAACCATAGGAGAAAGGAGTGCTCTCAGTCAATCCAAGCTAAATTTAGTTAATTAGAGCAGGGCTTTTCAACCTGTTCACCCATTGTACCACTTTTAGGATATGCCAATATCCGAGTACCACCAGTCGCCTAGCAAGGTGTCAAAAACTTGATGACCCCCCCCCCCCAAAAGGAAAAAAGTGATAAAGTATTGGTAGTCTTCGACTTACAACCGTTCGCTTAGTGACTGTTCGAAGTTACAATGGCACTGAAAAAAGTACCCCTCAAGCCACAGCAGAGCAAGACACTTGCCTGCCCACCCGGTGGCGCTCTTCCTCCTGTCCGAGGTTTTCATTGTTGTGAGCATTTCTGTTGAGGATTGGCAGTGGGGGTGGGGTGGGGGGTGTTTGGTTTTTATTCCCCCTGTCTTCTGGGTGGTTGCAGCAGGTTTTGGTCACTTCACATGACCCTGGGACACTGTGACCGTCATAAATATGAATCAGTTGCCAAGCATCTGAATGTAAATCACAAGACCCTGGAGATGCTGCAACATTCCAGCTGATTGGCACTTCTGGGCTCAGCAGAAGCGCCAGGATCAGCACCGAGCTCCAGCTGGAGCCTGGCGCTGATCCTGGCGCTTCCACTGAGCCCTGACAGTCCCGAAGAAGCGCCGATGAGCTGGAAAGCAGCACTGATCCTGAGGCTTCCGCTGAGCCCTGACAGCCCTGCAGCTCCAGCCATCTCTCACTCAGGCTTGTACGGTGCTGCCGTCACTTCAGATCATTCCCCACCCCCGCTACCACTTTTCTAGGATGGTCGCGTACCACCTGCCAGGTGTCAATGTACCACAGGTGGTACCCGTACCACTGGTTGAAAAGCCCTGAATTAGATTGTGCAGGATTCAAAATTCCTTCCATCTCCTGACTGTCACCTCCAACCATTGGATTGCTCCTGCATCGGAGTCTTGAAAATGTCTCCTCCCTTTAACAGCGACCCTCAGACTAGAACCCTGTGCATTGTTTTCTTCTTTTTTGTACAAAGTAAAGCATGAAGCAATCTACACCACTCGTGGTTTACAAAAGGAGAAAATGACCCAAAAGCCAAATAGAACAATCAGTAAGTTGGTCAACATTATGCAATTCTGACAGGATTATCAAATCTAAAAAAAAAGAGTTAATTGGACTTTCAAAACAATCATTCACTTTCAAAACTACTTACCTTTTTTTTAAAAAAAAAAAATTGTTTTTCCTCTCTAGGTTTATATACACACGCACACATGGGGTGTCCATTCCTTTAGTATGAACTATTGTTGAGCAATAGTTCTGCCTTTTCCTGACATGCCAGAGGATAGTGCAGACGGATCTGCTCATTCAAGATCTTGGTTAGTGACCTATGATGACCCTCAGTGATCCCTCTTGTTTTCAGTGCTGATATTTTCACATTTACATGAAACTGCAGGGGATAAGAGTACCCAGCTCTGCTGTTCCCACATCAATATATACAAATAAATATTGGGCCAATCAAATACCAAACTCTAACCATATTGCACAGATGGCTAAATCACTTTGATGTTTCTCACACCATTATGACCCGTTAAGATAGTGTGAGAAAGGCTAATGAATATTGGACAGTGGCAATACAACCCTTGAGGTAACCTCACACATGCTACAAAAGACATAATACAACCATCCTCACAGCTATATATGGATAAGACTAAGGAGTAAAGCGTGAGCTGCCTTGCCCTCATAAAAATAAATGCAGAGATTTTCCAAATAGATACAAATGCCTTTCTAGTTACCCAGTAGCAGTGATCCTCGACTTACAACAGTTCATTTAGTGACCATTCAAAGTTACAACATCACTGAAAAAAGCCACATGACCATTTTTTACCCTTACGACCGTTGCAGCATCCCCAGGGTCATGTGATTTACATTCAAATGCTTGACAACTGGTTCATATTTATGACGGCTGCAGTGTCCTGGGGTCATGTGATCATCTTTTGTGACCTTCTGACAAAGTCAATAGGAAAACCAGATTCACTTAACAACTGTGTTACTAATTTAACAACTGCAGTGATTCACTTAACCAATGTGGCAAGAAAAGTCGTAAAATGGGGGAAAACTCTGGGCTCAATTGTGGTTGTAAGTCGAGGATTACCTGTACACACAAGCTATCCACAGTGCCAGAAGACACAACTTGCAAGGCAAGAGGTGCAGGGTCTCAACTGACGTAATGCATGCAGGCCCATTTGCAGAATTTAATCCCTCCAGTGGCACAGAAAAGCCCTTGCAGAACAGCCCTGGCAGTTTGTCTTCCTAATTTAAATAAGATCTGGCATTCAGATAAATCAGGTGCCTCATATTGTCGAAGCTTTTCTCCAGCTCCTTGTTGACAAGGTAGATATGTTATATGACCGTATTATATGTCTTCTTCAAAATAAAAAGAATTGGAAGTGATAATTACCATCCTTCAGACGTCTAGCCTTCTTGGCTCGGTCGTTCCCACTCTCTCCTAACCTTTTTGTGCAATCTGCGCAGGATGGCCCTGTAGGAAGAAGCGTTACCAACACCATATGTGCAACAACGTTAATGATTTATGTGAAAATGTTGGCATCATTTTCACCCTGGCTCTATTGAGATAGGTTTTTTTCCTATCCACAAGGCTAGAACAGAGACTCAAGAGTCACAAGAAAAATATCTAATCACCAAATTGTGTGTGTGTGTGGGGGGGTGTTTGTAGTCAAAGAGTGCAATTCAGCACCAAAGCCAGTATAATGTTAACACAACTTCATTGTAGCTAAATATGCCTTCTTTTACTTGAGGTGAAGACCAGTGGTGTCTGTGGGGAACATCAAAATATGCAAAATGTTTTGACATCCCACTGCTGACAATCCTGGAGAAAGATTTTTC